CACCATCCAGCACACACACACTGCACCACAACACTCACAGCACACACACACTGCACCCTAACACCTCACAGCACACACACACACTGCACACACACCTAACACAGCACACACACACACATAATCCAGCACACACACACACACACACACACACACACACACACCCCTCACCACAGCACACAGCACACACACACACTCATCCAGCACCCACACACACACATCATCCAGCACCTCACACACACATCATCCAGCACACACACACACACACATCATCCAGCACCCACACACACATAATCCAGCACACACATAATCCAGCACACACACACACACACACATATCCAGCACACACACACATCATCCAGCACCCGCGACACACATCATCCAGCACTCGCACACACATCATCCAGCACTCACACACACATCGCCATCCAGCCGCACGACACACTGCATTCATTATACACACTCTTCACTCACTACAAACACACACCACATTCACTATACACCCTCTGCATTCACTATACACACTCTGCATTTATTATGCACATTCTGCACTCACTACACACTACATTCACTATACACACCTGCATTCACTACAAACACCTACATACACTGCATTCATTGTACACACTGCACTCACTACAAACACACTACATTTATTATTCATACTCTGCATTCACTACAAACACACTACATTCATTATACACACCCTGCACTGCACTATATGCATAGGAGTGTATTTTTTTATTTATTTATTTTTTAAGGGGGGGGGGGGCGGGAATCTTGGGTGAGTTCCCACACTTTTTTCCCCAGGACTTGACCCCTGCAGTAATGAATATGGGTTTTTGCTCTAGATCCTTTCATATCACAAACGGGACTCGGCAGTGTTGTCCCCCGTCTCCCCTGCTTTATGTTTTGGCTTTAGAGCCCTTAGCCACAGCTATACGATATAATAAAGATATTCACGGAGTTCGAGTGGGACCAGAAGAGTATAAACTCAACATTTTTGCCGATTATATTTTACTAACACTTACGCAATCACACATTACTCTACCTGTTTTAAAGAAAGAAAGAAACGCGTACATTCAATACTCCTACTAAAACTAAAAGCTTAATATCACTAAAACTCCAGCAATGTGCCTTAATATTCCTAAATCATTGGAAGAAAAAATTTAATTAGACCACCGTTTTGACTGGAGAGAGGACTATCTTGTATATCTCAGAATTAGATTTACAAAAAAATAAAAAAATGAACTATTCTCTGTGAATTATATAAAAGTATTTAAAGATATTGAAAAGCAACTGAAATTGTGGGGTAATGCATTCCTATCCTGGGTAAGGAAAATAGCGGGAATTAAGATGACTATCATACCGAAAACCCTTTACCTATTTAGGTCTTTACAAATTAAGGTTCCGCAATCATATATTACAACCTTGCAAGAGATACTTCTACGCTTTAGCTGGGGCGGAAAACATCCCCGAGTCCCAAAAGGACTAATATTGAGACAAGTAAAATGTGGGGGAATGGGATTCCCAAACCTGAAATTATATTACCACTCGGCTATCTTAACTAATATAGCTAGCGCAACTTCAGGTATATCTACCCCCCAATGGGTTGACATAGAGAGCAACCGCTGCGGAATTCTTGACCTACCTTCTTTGATCTGGATGCCACAGCAAAAACGGAGGATAGCGCCTGATACACTACCTACTACCATGCATCTACTCAAAATTTGGGATATTAGTAGGGAAAGACTATGCTCGGCACACCCTTGGTCATTGGCGGCCCCACTTAAAACTCTAACTGCAATAACACATTCCCTCATCTACAATGGAACCAAATGGGAATTACACATATATTCCACCTCTATACAATAGATGGTTTAAAGCCGTTCCCTGATCTTCAAGCGGAATTCGCACTCCCTCCACACTTTACTTTTGCATATCTCCAAATCAAAGCACTATTGGCTAACAACAAGATATACACAATACAACAAACTTTAAGTACCTCTGTTACGAAATTTGAACAGCTATGTGCAGCAATTTCTCCACCAAAGAAAATACTTTCGATATGTTATGATAGCCTCATCAATTCACAAGAAATAACGATATGGAAATTTATGACAGAATGGCAAACTGACATCCAGGAAACTGTTACACAAGAGGAATGGGAGAAAATCTTTATAGTACATGAAGGACTTTCATCATGTACATCACACTTTGAAACATCTTGAAAGATACTGTATAGGTGATATATGGTTCCCACTCGTCTCAGATCAATTTATCCGGAAACAGAAGACACGTGCTGGAGGTGCCATTCTCATAAAGGCACCATGCTGCATATATGGTGGTTATGTGACAAAATAAACAATCTATGGAAGGAGATAGAAATATTGATTCAAGAGCTTACATTTTGCAAGCTTGAACATACACCAAAGATGATACTCCTTAAAGCCTTACCAGATAACATAACGTATAGATTTATATGGAAAATGATCTTCCTCCTTTTATCCACAGCAGCAACACTAATGGCCAGAAATTGGAAGTCCGCAAATCTGCCCTCTTTACAAGAAATCAAAAATGTAATGACGATCACGGTGGACTATGAACTTATCATGTGGACTCAGACAAAAATAGGAAAACTAAGCCCTAATGTAGCCGATAAATGGCGGACCTATCTCCAAGCAATCTTCCCACATTTACCAAGATTATGACTGATATAGAGAGCGAAGGGCGATGGGAACCAACTTATTTAATAATAATCATTAATCAACTACTCCCAAAACCGGAGAATCTCTGTGCAGAGATGCAACATCATTTTATCATATATATATATATATATATATATATATAATTATTTTTTTTTACACCCTGTATAGCCCCTTCCCTGGCCATCCACCTACTAGGCAAAATATAGCAATAAATAAAATTAGAATCTGACCTCATTCTGACGAAGCACATATGACAGAAAGGTATTAGAATTCTATAGCAGCTCACTAAGGTAAGTAAGTTAAACCTCAGGATAACTACTCAAAAGGAATAGCTTTAGCAGGTTAAGTATTTGTTCCCTATCATTAAATTGGTTCGAGACATAACATATGACAACTTCATATTTAGATAACATGGGCGGCCAATAGGCTACATTAGTCAGATAAGACTATTGAGACATATAATATTTGAGGTACTCAATAAGGTGAACGTTTGCCATGTGATATGTAACCTGAATGATTGTAACCCCCCTCCTTTTCTTTTTTCTGTACCCTTTTTGAAAACTTTTTGAAAAACAAATAAAAATTTCAATTGGAAAAAAAAAAGGAAATACAAGGATTAGGGAGGACAGATGATTCTTGCAATACCTGGAATCAATGGATGAGACACGAAAAATATTAATATGAATACATAACCTTTGAAAATCAATAGTGTACACCGTAAAAAGCAGTGTAAAAAGAAATAAACCTAATTTATTAGGCAAACTAAAAGCGCTTTGGATTGAGCAAACTGGAATTTGCTCTTGAGCACGTGAGTAGGTTTAACTTATTAATTTCCTTTTTACAGTGTACACTATTGTGGTTCTGTTCGTTTATCTCCACATATACACGGACGGAAGAATTTATATTTACACCTGTATCCTTGAGTGGGGATCATACCACTTCAAGCACTATCAGAGGAGCCAGGTTTTACGGCTCCATTACACGTGAGTGTACATTTTATAGTTTGGCTCTACATACTTCACCCTATACGATTTTTATTTGTTTATTTTTCATGAGGATACCCCTACTACACCTTGTGATAATTGTGATAAAACCTAATTAACTAATTAGGCATGATTGATTTATCACTAATGAGCAAATTAATCTATTATAGATAGTTATGATGGCACTTGGCTTAAACTGTGTTGCACTAAGAAATTCAACTAAGATGACATTGCATAAAATACTTAAACTATGTCGCACTAAGAAATTCAACCTGTGTCGCACTAAGAAATTCAACTATACTTAAGCTGATATATCTAGATACTAAACTGTTTTGAAGTGAATGCATGCAACTACGTAATGAGAGTAAAGCTTACTCTGTATTGGGTCCCCTTGTGGACAATAAAGTGTGGTGTGAATTCTTATCTGCAACTTGGTCTCTGTGTGGTTTCTTTTTTCCTATAGCCCAACACACTCATCTCGAACTGGGTTGTGCGCCTGCCAATATCGCTATAAACCTTATTAGGTAATTGATTATTACTTTTTGGATATTGGTGCTTCATGAATTTAATGATTAGGCACAACATTTTGGCGATGAGGATGGGATGAGTGTTAATTGAGCAAGAAAACTTGAAATCAACAATTTGAAATAGTTAAAAAAAAAAGTTGTTAAGTATAGTTAAGACAAGGAAATTGTGTTTAGAATTCGTTAGAACTGTTTATGTGAGATAAGAAAATTGTGGTTAGAGATTGTTAGAACTGCTTAGACAAATTGTGTGTACAGTAAAAGTGAAACTAACATTGTACAAGTTCTAATTTCTGCTGCGTCACGGAGGAAAAAAAAGCCATTTGCAAGCTGTCAGTTTCTTCCTTGCGTTGCAGTAAAATATGCTATAGAGATTTTAAGCTTAGAAAACAAGCACTACGGTTTCTAAAGGTTCTTTGAACATTGTGTAAACTTGAAAATGTTTGCATGACGTTGCAAGAGCAAGATTGGTGAGTGAATGCTCGATCTAACAAGATTGAGGAGTGCTTCTGAAGATTGATTGAAGAATACAAGTTGTGTTCAGTTGGTAGACGCCCCTATACATCTTAGAGGTGTGTAAAACGCCAGTGCCTTCTGGGGAGCGTTACCCTCAAACAGGCTAGCGTCCTGGATGAGGCTGAATTGCTGCTAATTTAATAAGCTCAATACCGGGTACTGCGATAAGGTCACCAAAACCACAAGAGTGTTTGGGGTGATTTTGACACAAATGAGTGATGGTGCTTGGTCAGTTAACAAGTGCCCCTACGCACCTTAACGGGTGCTGGAAGCCAGTGCTCACTGAGGAAGTGAAGGAAACGGCTGTTCCTGAAAGTGTAAGATTGTTGGCTCGATCATAGCTGTCCCTATACACTCCACGGAGTGTGTAGAGCGTCAGTGTGTTCAGGGAGCACAAGCCTGCAGCCGGAACAGTCATCTGGGCAGGCTTGAGTGAAAGTTTTTCCCTGAAGTAACCACAGGAACTTTGCACAATGTTTAAAAAGAATAAGAAACAGGGTGATGATGCCATCATTCCCAGGTGGGAAAATGAGCCATATGGATTGATTGCCAGTGAGTGGGCCCGTTCAGCTGGCAAATGTAAAGATGAATGTGAAAAAAGTTAAATTGACATGCCTGTTAACCTTCTTGCTTGCCTGACAAAGATTCCAAAAGATAAGTGGCAGAAAAGAAGTTGGAAAATGCTTACTGCCTATAGACAGACACACAAAGATAGAGGTCAAATAAAAAGAGGAAAAAGCCCTAGGCAAATATGGCAGGTGGATTACATAGGTCCACTTCCTATGAGTAAAAATTGTCAATATGTATGCACGGCTGTGGATACATATTCAGGGAATTTATTGGTCCACCCTTGCAAGAGGGCTACCCAAATAAATACTATTAAAATGCTGGAAACCATAATTTTATTTATTTATAAAATATTTTACCAGGAAAGATACATTGAGATTTCTCTCGTTTTCAAGTATGTCCTGGGTCCACAAATCATTGCATTGTTACATTATGGTACAATAAAATACAAAAACAATATTAATACACAATAAATAAAAAATTTAACATAGAACAGGTAGGAAATATATAATCAACCATGACAGGTGCATTCTGTTTTGAGGTATGTAGAGAGGGATCTCTTAACCCCTTCAGGACGCATGACGGTTCAGGACCGTCCTCGGCATTTTTGCGTTGCCGACCGGAAAACGGGCGGCGGGAGCGATCAGAGATCGCTTTCGCCAAAATCCCGTTGTTACTATCTGCCTGGCATCCCAGGCAGATAGTAACAGCCAATTACGGCGTGTGAGCGATCCGCGATCGCTCACAATTGGCTGGTGTCAAAGTGGGTGTTACAAACACTCACTTTGACACTGATCTCTGCCTCTCTCCTCTCTGTAGCGTTTTGTGAGAGGAGAGAGACAGAGATCGTGATATATTGTTGCAGCAGCTGTTCCTGAGAAAATTAAAAAGTATCTGCAGTTAATAAAAAATCAAATTTTAACCCCTTCCCTGCCAGATCTGTTACAGACAGTGCATTTGTACTGTCTGTATTTTTTTTTTGCCCTTAAGGGTTAACTTTATTTTAAAAAATCTGTGTCTTAGACTGTCTTAGACTGTCTTAGACTGTCGTAGTCTGTCTTAGTCTGTTTTAGTCTGTCGTAGTCTGTCATAGTCTGTCGTAGTCAGTCAGTTTCCTTCCCCCAAATCTCCATTAGATTCTTCTAACAGGAGTTAGTTTAGGGATTACTGTTTTAGTCTGTTTTAGTCTGTCTTAGTGTTAAAAAAAAAATAAAAAAAATATTGTGTTTAATATTTTGTTAGTTTAGTCTGTTAGTGTGAAACATGCAGCGCATGTACAGCTTGGAGGAGGCATATGTCTTCTTGGCGTCAGACTCTGACGCCACTGACACTGCGTCCGATTTTGACCCAGGTCAGTTTAGCGGCACGTCTAGTGACATGTCATCTGTGTGTGAGCCAGCTGCTAAAAGAAGCTGTGCTTCCCCTGCTACGCTGAATGTGGAGGAGGACTGGGTACCTCCACAGTTAGCTGAGCTCAACATCCCCCCTTTTAGTGCCAACACAGGCATTAATGTGAATGTGGTTGACTTCTCCCCTATACAATATATGGAGTTATTTTTAGGGGATACCATCTGGGAGGAGATTGCTTCCCAGACTAATTTATACGCTAGCCAATTTATTGAGACCAATCCAGGTAGCTATACAGTCAGGGAGCATGATTGGCATCCCACAGATGTCCCTGAACTTAAAACATTCTGGGCTCTTACCATGCTCATGGGGATAATAAAGAAGCCATCAATCCGGTCTTACTGGAGCACCAACCCAATTTGTTCGACTCCTATATTCTCCCAAACAATGCCTAGACCAAGATATGAGCTGCTGCTGAGATACTTACATTTCAACGACAATACGCTCTGTCACCCCAGAGATCACCCCCAATATGATAGGCTTCATAAAATACGCCCACTGGTAGACCATCTTCAGAACAGATTTTCTGAAGTTTATACTCCCCAACAAACTTTATCCATTGATGAATCCCTTATGAAATACAAAGGTAGATTAGGGTTCAAACAATATATCCCCTCAAAGCGGTCTAGGTATGGCATTAAAGTGTACAAACTTTGCGAGAGCGAAAGTGGCTACACATTTGCCTTTCGTGTATACGAGGGGAAAGATGCTCACCTGAACCCTCCTGGCTGTCCTGACTCTCTGGGGACAAGTGGGAAACTTGTTTGGGACCTACTGATCCCTTTGTTCAATAAGGGTTACCACCTTTATGTGGACAATTTTTACAGCAGTGTCCACTTGTTTAAAATTCTTTATAGTTTACAGACACTGGCCTGCGGCACTGTAAGAAGAAATGCCAAGGATTTCCCCAGACCTCTCATAGAGGCCAAATTAAAAAAAGGGGAATGCAAAGCTCTGCGCAAGGCTGAACTGCTTGCGCTAAAATTTAAGGACAGGAAGGATGTTCACATGCTAACAACCATCCATAACGAGGGCATGTCAGACGTCACTGTCCGAGGCAGGGTACAGACAAAACCGGTGTGCATCAGGGCTTATAACAGGCACATGGGGGGTGTTGATTTGGCTGATCAGCTGATGCAGCCATATCTTATTTTAAGAAAGACAAAAGCCTGGTATAAAAAGGTGGCTATCTACCTGTTGCAAGTAGCAACACATAATTAATTTTTACTTTTTAAAAAATGAATCCAGGAAGAACCACCTATCTCCAATTTCAGCTCAAGCTGATTTCCACAATAATTTATGGAGATGGTCAAGTTCCAACGACAGTGCAAGAGTCGTCTAGACATTTTATTTTTAAGATACCGCCAACACCAAAAAAAAGAAACCCCCAGAAACGTTGCCGGGTGTGTTATAAAAAAGGGAAAAGGACAGACACCCCTTTTCACTGTCCCGATTGCCCTACAAAACCTGGACTATGTATTGGAGCATGTTTTAAGGTCTACCACACAGAAAATACATTTTTATAATACTTGTTCCTGATTTATTTTTTTTGTTTATTTTGAAAGCAGCAAATTTCTGTTAGTCAGTATCCTTCCCCCAAATCTCCAGTTAGATTCTTTTTGCAGGAGTTAGTTTACAGATTGCTGCTAACAGAAGTTTTAGTCTCATTTAGTCTGTTTTTATCAGTTTTAGTCTGTTTTTAGTATAAAATAAAAAAAAATTGTGTGTTAGTAACTCTGTGTTAGCCAGACTCTGACGCCACTGACACTGCGTCCGATTTTGACCCAGGTCAGTTTTCTGACATGTCATCTGTGTGTGAGCCGGCTGCAAAAAGAAGCTGTGCTTTCTCTGCTACGCCGAATGTGGAGGAGGAACAGGTTTCTCCACAGTTAGCTGAGCCCCAAATCACCCCTTTTAGTGCCAACACAGGCATTAATGTCAATGTGGATGACTTCTCCCCTATGCAATATATGGAGCTATTTTTAGGGGATACCATGTGGGAGGAGATTGCTCCCCAGACTAATTTATATGCTACCCAATTTATTGATACCAATCCAGATAGCTATGCAGTCAGGGAGGAGTGTGCTTGGCATCCCACAGATGTCGCTGAACTTAAAAAATTCTGGGCTCTTACAATTCTCATGGGGATTATAAAGAAGCCATCAATTTGCTCTTACTGGAGCACCAACCCAATCTGTTCTAGTCGAGTGTACTCTCAAACCATGTCTAGAACAAGATTTGAGCTGCTGCTGAGATACTTACATTTCAATGACAATACCCTCTGTCACCCCAGAGATCACACCCAATATGATAGGCTTCATAAAATACACCCACTGGTAGACCATCTTCAGCACAAATTTACTGAAGTTTATACTCCTCAAAAAAATGTATCTATTGATGAATCGTTAATGAAATATAAAGGGAGATTAGGATTCAAACAATACATCCTCTCAAAGCGCTTTAGGTATGGCGTAAAATTCTACAAACTATGCGAGAGCGAAAGTGGCTATACATTTGCCTTTCGTATATATGAGGGGAAAGATGGTCAACTGGACCCTCCTGGCTGTACTGACTCTCTGGGGACAAGCGGGAAACTTGTTTTTGACTTACTGATCCCCTTGTTCAATAAGGGTTACCACCTTTATGTGGACAATTTTTATAGCATTGTCCGTTTGTTTCAAACTCGTAAGGGTTTCTAGATACTGGCCTGTGGCAGTGTGAGAAGATATGCCAAGGATTTCCCCAGACCTTTTATAGAGGCCAAATAAAAAAAGTGAATGTAAAGGTCTGCACAAAGCTAAAGTGCTTGCAATAAAATTTAAGGACAGGAAGGATGTTAATATACTAACCACCATCCATGACGAAAGCATGTCAGACGTCACTGTCCGAGGCAGAGTACAGACCAAACCTGTTTGCATCAGGGCTTATAAAATGCACATGGGGGTGTTGATTTGGCTGATCAGCTGATGCAGCCATATCTTATCTTAAGAAAGACAAAAGCCTGGTATAAAAAGGTGGCTATCTACCTGATGCAAGTAGCAACACATAATTAATTTTTACTCTTTAAAAAAAAATGAATCCAGAAAGAACCACCTTTCTCCAATTTTAGTTCAAGCTGATTTCCACAATAATTTATGGAGATGGTCAAGTTCCAACAACGGTGCCAAAGGAGTCCAGACATTTTATTTTTAAGATACCGCCAACTGCAAAAAAAAAACAAATCCCCTGAAATGTTGCTGGGTCTGTTATAAAAAAGGAAAAGGACAGACACCCCTTTGCACTGTTTTTTTTTCTTTTGAAAGCAGCAAATTTTAGTTAGTCAGTTTCCTTCCCCCAAATCTCCAATTAGATTCTTTTTGCAGGAGTTAGTTTAGAGAATGCTGCTAAAGGTGCATTTGATACCTGCACATTTGGTTAAAAAAGTTTTATGGTAGTAACATATAACTGGCTGGCCAAAACCAGATGACGTGTGCATAAAAAGCAGAATTAAAAAATTACCACCATGCACGTTCTCTGAAATTTGTTTAGCAC